TGCTACTGCCTGCTACTGCTACTGCTGCTACTACTACTACTACTACTATTACTACTACTACTACTACTACTACTGCTGCTACTATCACTACTATCGCTACTATCACTACTACTACTACTACTACTACTACTACTACTGCTACTACTACTGCTCCTACTGCTACTACTACTACTACTACTACTACTATCACTACTACTAATACTACTTTACTACTGCTACCACTACTACTACCACCACCACCACGACTACTACTACTACCACCACCACCATTCCTACTAACTACTACTACTACTACTACTACTACTACTAATACTACTACTACTACTACTACTACTACTACTACTACTACTGCTACTACATTACACTAGACTATGCTACACTACACTGTATTACTACTACGACGCAAAGGAATGAAGTCACCACCAAGCAAAAACGTATGAGTTTTCCGAGTAAAGATTCAGTCCATAAGAAATTGTCGACGAGGCAAAGCTCCTCCTCACAGTTCACGTAAAGCACAAGGTGTGTCAGAAGTGTTACAGGACGTTCCCAGTGTATCAAAAAGAGGGACCAACAGCCCTTCAACAGAGTCTGCTTGCCATTCCAGACTCAGTGGGCAATTGCAGGACGGTGCATTGCATGATGCGCACCGGGATGCCATGGCTATGGCGCAAAAGAAGGGCCTTGGTATCACAGTGCATGCTGCTGAGGCTGGACCAGGCTCGGTTGCACAAGCTGTCGTAGCTGCAGTGCATACGACTGTTCATCACTTCAGCTTTAGTTTGGCGCTGTGCAAGATGGCTGAGGTGACAACGTTTGCAGGGCAATGGATGTTTATGGTGCGACTCGAATAGGCCATGGTTACAGATCTGTCGGCATGCAGGCTTACAACTATGCCAGGAGCAAGGGTGTGCACTTCGAGTTATGTCCTACGTCCTCTGTTTCCACGCAAGCTATTGAGCTGGAGAAGGCAGATGGTTCACTTCAATGGAAAACGCACCCAATAAGTCGCTTCTTTCTGGACGGCACTTCCTGCTCCATCAACTCGGACGATCCAGCAGTATTCCGATCTTCGCTCACCGATGAGCTTGTCATTTGCGTTAAAGAGATGGGTCTCAGCTTGGAGAATATCCAGTGGATGACCTTGGAAGCTCTCGAGCATGCCTTCCACTTGGAGAGTGGTGTGAAAGACACCATCGCAGAAAAGGTGAAGGGTTTCTACGAGCAAACACTGAACTAATCCCTGGCGCTGGCTTCTGGCGCGCCCTCCGAATCTTGCATGCAGCATACCCCTTCGATTCACAGACACAGGCCTGTGTACTCCTAAGTTACATGTGCCAGAAGGCTTGAGCTGCTCACCCGTTCTGGCTGTCTGATGCACGCTAGCCAAGGCTTGGAACCCTTTGCTTCCGGCGGCGCCACTCAGTGCTGGCGGCCGGCGGAGTACGTGCTACTGTTGTCCCTGCACTGCAGCGAACGCTTCTGGTGCAGAGCTGAATTCCTTTATCCTTAGGTCTTAAAGGTGCTCGCGGGAGCACTGCCCCTGAGGCAATGACAGGAGGGATCAAGCACGTTAGCAGGAGACGAAAAGCAATCGCAGCCTGCCGTCTGGGTCCTGTCTGGCTGTACATTCATAATTTAGTCGCCCCTGTTGCCGCGCATTGAAGTTCCATAGAGAAGCATCCTGCAGGTTCGACGAAAGTTCTGCGTGTAATAGTGTCGATGCTTTTCCGGAAGGGTGTGCATGCCCGGTAGTGCTCGCAAGTGTTGATGCAGCTCACACCCGTGTTGCATGTCTTTGCGTCCGCACGTGCGCCTGCATGCGCTTGCAAAGCTTCGCATGTCAGGCCCCCTTTAGACCATATTCACGCCAGATAAGTTGATGTTAAGAGAGACTTCCAGGGCCCTCGTAAGAGCCTTAGCCTCACACCAATAAGTTGCAAGACGTGAACCGAACATGCAATCAGTGCATACCTTCACGTGCAACCCGCAATGCAGCCGGTTAGCAAGCCAGGAACCCCCACGCAAACGGCAGCGGTCCTCGCGACTCTCGGCAGATGTGCCGCTGCCACCGGTGAAGCAGGCCGAGATGCCGCTTGAAGTTTTGAAGCTAGGGGAACTTACACTTTATTTTTCCTGATCAGCAGTTCCACTCGTCTTCCCCTAGAGCGGAGGAAACCTTGCTAACGCTTTCGAAGTGGGAATCTCAGGGATACTTCTCACATGCTGTGTTGCTTGTAACTCGGCACCGACTATTCTAACACAGAGCCACTTAAGATCCGCCGCAGGAGCTGCACCCTGCCAGGGCCCAAGTCTCCGACGCGAGACAGACCACGTGCAGGAGCCGAGCAAGTAGGGAGCCACGCCTAGAAGTTGCAAGACGATGCAGCTCTATACCAGCCTCCCGTGGTTTGGGTGAGACGAGGTAAAGATGGAGAAGGAGGAAGAGGAGGATGAAACTTGGAGTGCCAACAGATGACCTGGCACGACTGCGAAAGCAAGTGCCAGCTGCGGCTAAGGACACCAATGCCCTCGATGCTCTTATTGCGGCTGCATCCTCCAGGAAAGGCGTGGCCACCAAAACCGAGGCGGGCTGCCGGGCGCGCGGCGCGTACAATGCGTAAGTAGAAGTTAGGTTCGTAACATCCTGTGAGCGGGAACGAGATGCCTGTTGCACATCGAACCAAGCGGCCTTCGCAGGAAGAACTGAACCACCAACACTTCAGCCTCGAAACAGTGTACGAGGATGATATTGCATGCCGTCTACCGCCAGTTGATGCACGATGCAGGCAGTCAAGTCGGAGCCCGTCAAGACCGAGGCAGTCAAGACGGAGAAGGTCAAGGCCACTGCCAGCAAAGGGCACTGCCATAGTACTGACAGCATATGAGAGCAAGGAGAAGCTGAGAACAGCATCGGGATGCAGCGGGAAGTACTAATAACTATGACTACAACGAGTTGTGTTGTTGTAATTCATGTAAGGTAAGAGCGTTGGCAATGGCTTCGAGAATAATTAGGATTGTCCACTGCAAACACAGTAGCAAAAGTAACGCTGGAGAGGTATGTTTGGGTTGTTGTGCCCGTTAGTCGTGGTGATAGACATCGCAAAAGTAGCAGCTGCAGGCGTGGTATGACTATGATTGTCACTCTGTTGTTGTTGTTGCCATCGTGGCAGTTGTGGGAGTATCGTAGCCGTCGTTGTCGTAGCAGTCGCAGGAGTAGCTCTAGCAATACTAGTACTGGTACTAGTATTCGTAGTAGCACACCAGCAGCCTTCAGCGTTCTGCGCAGCTACATATGGTAATAGCCGAATATAGAACTTGCTGGGTAAAGTGAAGGATCAGCCTAGGCTTTTCAGATCCTATTCCGGCCTGTAGCCGGTACGTCAGCCTCCGAGGCCGAAGAGGAGGACGACGACGACACGGAAGAGGAGGAGGATCCTCTTATGGGCCGTCGCCTTAACTTCTCGGATTCTGGTTTGACAAGCCTGGCTTGGATGCAAAATTCTTAAGCTCACCCGGCTGGGAGTCGCGGGCAGCATGCACGACGCATTGCAGCACTGGTCTTGGTAACAGCGACACAAGAATCTCGAGACGACGACACCGCAGTGGTGGACATTCTCGGTGCGGCTAAGGTGCAGCTCTCAAAGCAGCAAAAGTGAAGGAAGAGCTGGACTGAAGTTGCGTGTTCAATGGATGCTCTGCCTAGCTAGTTTACTTGTACTTTGCGTAGGCGACATCTTGCCGTGCATCAACAACTCATGTGACAAACACAGGCTAGACCAAGCCTTGTGGTTAGTGGATCAACCTAACCTGTGGCATTAAGCACCAGCTGGCACAGGCCTGACTGAATTTGCCCAAACATGATTGCCCCCAAAACTTATTTGGGTCGTGACATGGGCTGACTTCTGAGACGTTTGTATAGAAGGTAGGCTCGACGGATTGAATCAAGCGGACGATGCCACACAGTTCAACAGACTTGCTTGTGGCACCTCATGACATGCACGATTTCTTGAGGAAGCTAGCAAGAAGAGGTCACCAGAGCAGACCCTGAAGCCTGCGGTATTGTGGCAAGCGCTCACCAAATGCTCGCGTATCGGCCCAATGTTGCAGCTTAGCTTGGAAGCGGCAAACAACAAGCCTGACAGCCAGGTGTCTAGGTGTACATGTGACATTTGAGGAAACCTGCATATCAGAAGCAAGCGAAGAGGTTCCTGTCAAAGTTCCGGAAGCTTCAGCCAAGCCGATGGCCCAGCCCGAACGTGAAGCTGCCATCGTGAAGCGGGTCTTCCGACGATATGTGACTGGGTTCAGAATTGGCTGCAGATACCGGCCGTCTGACACTGGAGTCGACGTTTGAAAGGAAGTTTGTATTTTTCTGACAAAGCTGCAGAGCCCCGACTTCTTGCGCTTGTTTCGCGGATGCTAAGGACAAGCTGGGTGATGGGACAGTTGATCGAGACATGCTGTGGAAGGCATTGGGATGAACGTCCATGAATGTCCCAAACTTGCTTGTTCGCCTCCGTGGATCTCACCGATCGCGGCAGTGTCATTGACCCGAAAGATCTGCATCAGGTGATGCAGACCCTGCCTTCGAAGATCAGTCTCCAAACCTTCCTGCATCTACTTCAACAGACACTTGGCATGCCCTGATGCATACATGGACACTGTTCGAGCGAACGCAGGGATTCGCAGTCTCAAGCGTCAATTGCTTCCCCTTCCCTCCCCGCCCCCACTCTGACAAGGACAGGATACGATGGTGACTTGCCTGATCTATCCTGATCAGACATTGGGTGAACTCTACATCCCGATAGATTACACTGACGGGCCAGCAGTTCCACCCTGCCAGACCAGCTGCGCTACACAAGTCTGCACTGCCTCGGCACAGGTGGCCGTGTGAACTACGCCAGATGCCCAGTGTGCATGAAAACACCATGTTTCGCTGTCTCCATGCGATCACGGGTTGGCACAGCCCTGGGCCTCGAGACAAGCTGTATTTGCGAAGCAAGCGTTGCAGGTCCGGTTCCTGGATCGGCTTTTCTCAGAGAACTCAGGGGAGGCCCTGCGCATCAGAGAGATCTTGCAACTATGCTCTCTCAACGGCAGCCGCCATGTTCTCGAATGGTCTCTGCGACTCACAGAACGCATGTGAGCCATGCGGTCTTCAAGAGACCTCCTGCGCTCACTGCAGGACACGGCCAGCGACAGCGAAGACGCGATGCTCGGCTCAAGCCTGTGTTGCTTCGGCACAGGTCAGTCCCATGCACAGCCCTTGCTTCGAGTTGAAGCCCAGCTGGGGTCTGAAAAACTCGAGGCCGAGACATGACAGCCGGATAGCCACGGATAGTCGGATAGTCCTTCCAGAATGCAAGGACGTCGGCCTTGGACGGCTGGCGCCGACTGCTGCTTACAATGGCGCTGCTTGGCTCAAGAAGCACACAGGAAAAGCCCTCTGAAGGCAATGATGCCTGCTTTCCCTACAGCTGAAGCTCGAACTGGTGTTTGGGCTGCCCCATTGAAGTCTTGTCTCAGGAAATTCCATGCCCCTGACGAAGCTTTTGAGCGCAGGAGCCGATCTCGAATGCCATCTGATTCCAACTGATGTAGCTGCTGACTCCTGACCCTGTGCACCTACTGGTCCACTACTCCAAGTACTATCATTTTTCTACTACTACTACTGCTATTTTTATTGGTTGTTAAGAATAGCTATTATGATTAGTATTATTATGATTATTACTACTACTACTACTACTACTACTACTACACTACTACACTACTACCACTCCTGCTGTTGATATGATGCAAAGAAAATAGTATGGTAGATTGCTTATCGTTGTCCTTGTGGTTGTCATCGTTATTGTTATT